CCTGTCCTTCCCGTGGCCATTCCCGTGGACAGACCCTTGATCATGCAGCCAATCTCCTCTCACGAGAGCTTAGGACAGGGGTGGGCAAACTTTTTGACTCGAGGGCCACAATGGGTTCTTAAACTGGACCGGAGGGCCGGAACAAAAGCATGGATGGAGTGTTTGTGTGAACTAATATAAATTCAAAGTAAACATCATTACATAAAAGGGTACGGTCTTTTTTTTTTTTTTTTTTTCAGTTTTATTCATTTCAAACAGGCCGGATCCAGCCCGCGGGCCGTAGTTTGCCCACGGCTGGCTTAGGATGTTCCAATGCTTCCCATGACGCGTGGGCTTCAGAAGACAGGCCTTAGCTGCTCGCTGTGCCCACCCATGACCATTTCTTCAACTCAGATTCCGAGGAGCAGAGCAGAGGGCTTGGGGTGAGCACATGTGAGAAATCTATGTATTTGAGCTGGGCTTCCAGGGTTCGGGGAGGGGAGAGGTGGAGGGAACACCGTGGGCCAAGCACGAGGGCGAGAAATGACATCGAGAATTCCCGGGAAAGACGTGGCTGCTTGTCCAGAGTCTCGGGGAAGCCAGGGTCCGGCCTTGACGTCCTGCGTCCTCCCTCCCTGGGGAGGGGCTCCCCTGGGGCAGCCTAAGCCGGGAGCTGGCTGACACCAGGTGCTGCTGTCACTCGGATACTGACTGGGACGGGCCTCTGGCCGCCCGGCCCCACTGCGCTCCCGGGCCGCGCCGCGCACCCACGCGGATTGTCTTTCTAAAGCTCAGTCTGAGGTCTCCCGGCTCGGCCCTGGTCTGCAAAGCGGTCAGTGGCTGCGGTGACTTTAAGAGACTCTCTGCTGCCCCACTACGCGCGGTCCTCCCAGCCTCGTGGCTTCTGGCCAGAACAGAGTCTCCGTCGGTCATTCTCTGGCCGCCAGAGTCTGGCGGATCTCCTCCATCCTCCCACCCCCATTCGTCCCACCTTTCTCTCTGGAGTAGGAGCCCCGCTCTGGGTAGGAGCCGGTCTAGGACAGTGAAGGCCAGGCCAGGCCAGGCGCTGGGACTTGGGTCTGCAGTCCATGGGGGAGCCACGTTTGGTCTCTAGGGAACGTTGGGAATAGCACCTACTCTTCTCGATAATCCAGAACCCTCACCCTTCCGCTCCCCCACTGTCCCCGCATCCAGGCCCTGCCTCCTCCCAGGCCTGCCGTCCATCCGCTCCTTCCTGGCGCTCTCCGCTCTGGGCAGTGGCTGATGGAGCCGGGCTGGGGCCAGCTCAGCCACACACCCAGGCCTGGGCCGGCCCTGGAGGCACATTTCCATCCTTATCAGTGATTCCATGGCCGCCTCCTCTGGGCATCTCCCAGTTTGTCCCTCAGGGGCCCTGGTCCTGGGGCTGGGGGTGGGGGGCCTGGCTGCCCTGCTGGGGTGCGACTTGTTTGCAGGAGCCACGTGACCCCCAAGCAGGAGGGTGCGGAGCACATGGGCTGGGGATGTAGCCTGAAGCTGCCACCACTGACGGGACATTTTCTCCGGGAAGTAATTCAGAGGTTACATTCCGCTCCCTAATGTGGCCAGTTCGTTTAATGGTGAAATACTGGTTTTGTTATTTGCTGGTGAGTAAATCGAAGCTCTAGCTTGCATCCCCGGCACCTTCCTGAAGTCTCACGTGGCCCCGCCCACACCCAGCCCGCCCTCAGCACTGGGGTCAGTGCGCAGTCAGAGGCGTGCGACAGTCCCCTCGCCCCGTGCACCTTCAGAGGCCACCGGTCACACCCTGTCCCATATAAATGGGGTCCCCTGGCGTCATGCAATCACCCCCATAGCCCTGCTGGGAAGGCCCCTAGCCTGGGGGGTCAGGAAACCCGGATTCTGTGTGACAGGCGCGGTGACTGGTGTGACGGGGGCCACCGCCTCCCCTCTGCGGGCCCCGGCGCCCTGGTGTCTCGAAGGGAAGCCACGTCCTCTTCTCAGGCTGGACACTGCCTCCCGGTTCACACACCGTGACTCGGGTGGTGGGAGTCCAGGCAGGAGGAAGTGGGGGGATGAGAAGCAGAGAACAGACAGTCGAACCCCCTCCAATCACACAGTGGGGGGCTCCCCACGGCACCCACCGGTGGGCCACCAATCCCAGTGGGATAAGCAGGCCCTGATCCTGAGGAAGGGACAGGATTTGACAGGGAGCTCGGCTCGCAGCCTGAGAACGGCGCGGGCTTGTGGGCTGGGCCCTCTGAGAGCCTCCTCCAGCGGCCACGCCGGCCCTTCCGGTGAGGGGAGCGGGCGGAGCGGGGTGCACTCCACGCAGCCCCTAACCCAACGGCTGCTTCTGTTGTGGGGGGAGAGGAGGAGAGAGGGAGAAGCAGATTCCATGGAGCGCCCCCATCCCTGCCCACACTCGGGCCCCCTTTCTCTGCAGCGTGCAGACGGGGTCCAGCCCCCACTGCTCTGAGGCTGCAGTGCCAGCCCCCCCCCCCCACCCCCCATGTGGACACTCAGTGGAGGGGCCCACTGGCTAAATCCTGATCACCCTGAACCTGGGCGCATGAAGAAAGGCGCATTGTCTCGTTCTCGGCCCGCCCTGCGCAGAAGTGGCTGAAATCCTGGTATTGCTGTGGTTTTGTTTAGCAAACAAGGAACATGCAAAGCAGCTCCCGTGTGTGTGTGTGTGTGTGTGTGTGTGTGTGTGTGTGTCCAGCACCCACCCTCCCACTTCCCCAGATCTAGAAGGTGCAGGGCAGGGCCCCTCACCCCGGGGTCAGGAGCCCGTTGCAGGCCTGGCCCATGGGGTGGCTCATGGCAAGTCCCTACCCCTGCACGGGCCTCACCGCCTCACAGACAGGAGGGGGACGGAGGTCTCCAGCCTTGTTGGCTCCGGCCGCTGGCTGCTAGAGGCCCTTCTCCTCCGGCCGCAAGAGCCGGGCCTGCAGGACGGGAACTGGGAGCCTGCGGGGAGGTTGCCCACCTCCCCATGCAAATGTCCAACCCCACCCCACACCCTCCGACAGGTTTGTCAGGGGAATTCTGGCTAAGGTAAATAGGAATGAAGCAGGCCGGGGTCCTGCCCAGCCAAACCCAGAGCCGGGGAGTCCCCGGCCCCCAACGGCCTCGGAACCCGTGCGGGCCCAGCAGAGGCAAGGACCTGAGGAAACACCTCCGGTGTCATTGGGAGGAAAGGCGAATGGAGACCCCAAGGGCTTGGGATCGGATATCCTGGCCCCAGCTCTGCACTCGCCCGCTGTGTGACCCTGGGCGAGTTGGCCGGGCCTCTCTGAGCCTTAGTTGCCCCCTCTGTGAAATGGGAGCGTGGCACAGGTTAGAGGCAGCGTGTGGAAGCCCTGGGCTCCGCGCAGTACCTGGAAGTGACTCAGTTAGAGGTGTCCCCTGCCTGGGCCCGGCCTGGGCGGGGTGCAGAGAGCGAGAGCCCAGAGAAATACCGTCTAGCAAAGGGGACGCTGGCTACGCACAGACAACCACCGGGCCAGGCTCAGGGGGTCCTGCGCTGTGAGCAGGAGCCCCAGGAGCTCAGTGTTCAGAGGTGGGAGAACCTGGGACGGAGTGACCATGGGAGGGCGGCATTCGAGCCGGCCTTGTACTCGCCCTGCGCTGGGCCTGCTCAGGGCCGTGCACACCTGGTCTCGGGTCCTCCCAATGCCCCCCAGGGATGGATCGCTATGCCCACCATCTACAGCGGAGGCGCTCGCCTGAAGCCCACAGCCGGCGCGGGCGGCCAGGCCTCACTGCATCACCTCGCAAAGCCCCTCTGGCCGTGTGCGCCAACATTCCCGGCTCCAGGGACCAGGACGTGGATGTCAGCCCACCCCAGTGATCACGTGGACCCTGGGTCAGCCAGGTGGACCCCGGTGATCAGCAGGGTCCTTTCGGGAGGGGAGGCAGGAAGGTGAAGGCGGAGGAGCCGGGAGGGGAGGCAGAGGTCAGCCTGATGCGCTGTGAGGCGGAAGGCGGCGGCCACAAGCCCAGGACTCCGTGGCCTCTGGAAGTCAGAGCAAGCCACCTGCCCTGGAGCCTCTCGCGGGGTGCACTCCGGGACACCCCGAGTCTAGCCCTGGGCGACTCACATGGGGTTTCTGAACCTCCGGGACTGTCGGAGAATAAACTTGTGCTGTTCGAAGCCGCTGAGTTTGTGGTGACTCGTGGCAGCCGCCACAGGAAATGGACAGCCCTGGCTACGTGACCTGTGACCCTGTCACACCCTGTGGGGTCCGGTGCTTCTGCTCCAGCCCTTTCCATGTGGCCTGGGCCTCGGCTCCCAAGCTGTCTGAGGGCAGCTGCATAGCTGCCTCTGCTTTTCAAAGCTCCCCCTGCCCCTCCCAAAGGGGGTCAGCTTGCACCCAGGAGGCCCTTCATACACGCTGGTCAGATGTAAATAAATCTGTGTCTTTATTTCCATGTACAGCGGTTGAGGGGAACAGGCTTTTGACAGCAATAACTGCTGGTTTCTCCAGCCTGGGGGTCTGAGGGCAGATCAGAGCCCAGCTGAGTGCCGGTCAGAAGTGGGGGGTAGCCAGCAGGTCTGGCTGAAGCAGAGGGGTGCTGGGCATCCCACCGGGGCAGGAGGTGGCCCTGACCATCTGGCCGCCTGAAAGAGGCCCCCTAAAGACCCAGGGGACCGGATCCCAGCGCTGTGGGCAGAAGGCACCGGGAGGATTTCTCTGTGGGTCCCGGCTCTGCGGGTCTGGTCTGATTGTGGCATCGAGGTCCACGTGGGGCTGCTCTGGCCTGGGCTCTGCCCTGGGGAAGGCACCCAAGTTATTATACCTTCAGCTCAGAAAAGACCCAACCCAGCTCCCATACTTTACAGCAGAACTATGGGTCCAGAGAGGGAAAGCGATTTGCCCAAAGTCACACAGCAGTTTCCTGAGTCTCAAAACAAGCAGCAAGACTCCCATCCAGTGTTGCCCCCGGGAGACTGCGGATCTGGGCGCACGAGGCTGGCCTCCCTCCGGGTGACAGGACGGCAGGACGGGCTGGTCGGGGCTGGGAGGGGCACAGCCTCACTTGAGGTTGTGCTGGCTCTCGCGGTGCCGCCGCAGGTCCACCTTGCGCTGGAAGCCCTTGGCGCAGAGCTCGCAGCTGAAGGGCTTGAAGCCCGTGTGCTTCCGGCTGTGGGTGATGAGGTTGGAGCTCTGGCTGAAGGCCTTTCCGCACACCTGGCACTTGTGTGGCTTCTCACCTGCGGGGCAGCAAGGACCGCGTCAGGGCCGACTGTGCCCCCACGCCCTGCATTTGTTCTCTGAAATTTTATTATGTTTTATCTCAGGACCAACCACATTCCCTCTGACACCGCCCCGCCCTGCACTGCATTGTACCCTGGCTGGGGCGGGGGCTGGATCTCTCCGCTTTATCAATCTCCCGCAGCCCCTGGCACAGAGCCGGGTACAAAAGAGGCACTCGGGCAACAGCCGAGGAGTGAATGAATGAATGAGTGGAGGGATGAATGAATGAATGAATGAATGAAAAAAGCTCCTGCTAGTCTCACTTCTACCCGGAGATCAACATTGCTGACTTGTGCTGTTTCCTTCCAGCATTTTCTCTGTGCATTACCAGTAAGTGAACTTAAGCAACACAGTGCCTCCAGCCCTCCTGTTGGGGGGGGGGGCGCCCCATGTAACCTGACCCCACTGTCCTAGAGCCGGGCCTTTTCACAGTGGAAGGTGGGGGTTCCCAGGCTCTGCCTGGGCCCTGTGGCCCCGAGTGCCGGGCCGGGCGGGCAGCTCACCCGTGTGGATGTAGGTGTGCTTCTTCATGTCCGACTTCTGGTGGAAGCGCTTGCCGCAGAACTGGCAGGGGTAGGGCCGCGTGTCCGAGTGGATGAGCAGGTGGGTGGACAGGGTGGACGAGCGCTTGAAGGCTTTGCCGCACATCTGGCACTCGAAGCTGCGCTCCTGCCGGGGGAAACGAGGCCCTGGGGGGTCAGCGCCGGCGCAGGACTGGACCCAGCTGGGATCCCTGAGGAACAGACACTCTGTTGGGGTGGCCTGGAGGGGCAGGCCCGGGG